GCAAGGTGTTCTCGTGACATTTAGAGGCGTGTGTTAAAAATAAGTCAAATAATTTACAACCAGCTAGTTAACACAGATCTGCATTTCAAAAGTCTAATGGTTAGTGACTGTAACTAACAGAAAAAAAAAATATTCTAGACTGTAATAATTTTAGCTTATTTTCTGTTTCTGCCCCTGCCCCCTGAAATATTCTTTTGGACAAAATTACTTTGAGGCCAATGCTACCCCTCGTTTCCCTCTACCTCTGCATCAGTGCTCTACTTTGAAGGAGCACAGCTCATCACCCTTGTACTTGACACTGTGCTGTTTTGCTTTTCTTTTTTTGTTTGTTTGTTTGTTTTTTAATAGTTTCAGAATTTTCAGTATTTGCCATGCTCACACATCTCAAAGTCAGAAACGTATAAGCAATGTTTTCCTGTCTTAAATTTCTAGCTACGTGAAATGACAAAAACATGTAACAGGCATTCTTTGTATATGGGAGAGTCTTGCATGTGCTGCAATTCAGATTACTAATGGCTATAGGCATAAAAGCGTAGGGTTAGTTGCATGGGTACAAAAGACAGTTTTGATAAGCTATTTGTAGAGGAGGGACTCCTGTCTCCTACATGGAACATCTTGTATCATTAGATATGCTACCAGATTAACTTTCATGATCCAAGTTGCTGATATAATTTAGAACTCAAGAAGCTGTCTCTGCCCTTGTCAAAACCAAACAAGCCTGGTCTCATATTAAAACACCTAATTAGTGTGTTTTGGACCTTACAGAGGCAAATCTGAGAACTCCTACAATTTCAGATGTCCCCGTACAAAGCATATTAATCATAATTGTGTCAAGCAACATTTTGCTCTAAGGACATAAAACTACACCCAAACAAAGCTCAGAAGACGAGCACTAGGTTTTATGGTAAAAACAACACTTTAGCAGAATTAAAAGAATGACAGATCTTGCATTTTCAACCATTTAAAACACTCCTAGGCTACTATTCAGAAAATGCATGATAAATAATAGAAATAAAATGAGTCACATAACATTCGATCTTGAAACTGCCATATCATTTAAAACTAAATTTTCATTTTTGAGGTTGTAATGTACGAGCAGTTTTTTCTAGACCTACACTTCCAGCTTCAGTGAGCACAGTTGGAGAATACTGAAAGGGAAAATGGCACACTGTCTGGAATATGCAAGGGATTTTGGCTCTTAATTCACATTGCTATATAGTGCATTAAAAAAAAAAAAAAAAGTCAGCAATGATTTGCTTAGCAATCTTTTTGCCATAATACTACTTCTATTTTACTCATTCTCAAAGTCAGCCTAATTCAGGCACTCAAATATACAAGGTATGTAAAAACAATGATAAATATATCAGCACATGTTATAAACACCGCTTGATGTTCTAATAAACCAAGTAATGCCTATGTTTAATACTTGAAAGCTGCTGTGAAAGTAATGCCTCCTATTTTATTATGTTGGTCCATGATGTCAGAGGCAGATGTTGGTGGTATGGCAGTAGTGGCTGAACCTTCCCATCAATATCCCATTACATGTTGTTGCCATGTAACAGATGACAGCAGAAGGGCAGTCTAACAAAATGGCACCTGACTTGGAAGTGTGTCTGAAGTAAAGGTGTGGGATTTAATTCCTCAGTGTGGAAAAAGTGGCCCCCATTGACATTCACTGATGTTTGCTGAATGTTGATGGAGACGAAAAAGCAGGTGTGAGCACAGTGAGACATTAGGTGGTGCATTTCAGCAGTGGCAACACCAACAGCGTGTCACCTCAGCTGGTGCAGATTTTTCCTGAGTGCATCATGCAGGCTCTTATTCATCACTGGTGAAAAGGTATAGCTAATGATGGTGCCTAGGTTAAAAAGTTTTTTTGTACATGAGAATTTGCTCTATCAAATAGTGTTATTGTGCTCTTTGGAACTATTTTAGTTTCCATGGAATTAATCAGGATGCATTACTTTCAAAGAGAAACTAAGTAGAGGAGAATGACTCATTTATTCCCATAGGTGTAAGTTAAGCAACTGTCATGAATTTAACATCAATTTATAGCAATTACTGGCCTGGGCGTTATATGCTAACTCTACCAGGCTTCCAATTGAAATCAAAAAACACTCTGATGTCATGCATTTTAATAAAAAATATTTATAACTATACAGTACTCTGAGGTCTAGAAACAGATTCATACCTTGGGAAAAGAAGCAAACAAAAAATTCTACTGGAAAAGCAAAACTACTGTTTAATGCTCAAAGCCTCAGTGGTCTTAAATTTGTAATTAACCCAGCAATCACAAAATCCTCATACTAAAGGCTAAACATATCTCAAAGACTCTTTCTTTCAGGACAAAACAATGCTACTGAAATGCTGAGTTCTGAATGTTCTTCAGGTCCTTGGTGAAAGCCAAGACAGCTCTGATTTACATCTGAAGAAACTACTAAGAACATAAGATTCACTATCATTTCAAAACCTACTCCTGCTTTTTGATTTCTTAGTTTCAGACCTGAGCTCAAGGCACTTAGATCATTGAGCAGAAGGCTGCTGGCCACTCTGCGATGCCAGTGGAGTCAACGGGAGACAGATTTACTCAGAAAACCAGCAATTTGTGTCTCAAGTTCTCGTCCATAGCCAAAAACTGACTCTGTAAGACACTCATTTTCTGTTTTAACTCTCCAATAAAAACAATCTTCCTGGTTCTAAATTTGTTTTTTACATGAAGTAGACTTTTCTGCCTACTGCATGTAAGTGTGAACTTCCTGAAGAAACTTTAGAAGCAAGCTCGCAGAACTTGTATGGGAACCATAACATTAGAATTCCATAGCTAATTTTTCTACCTTTTGGGGAAAAAAAAAAAAAGTAACACTAGCAAATGATATTTGGGGAGTAGAATAGCTAAATGTTATGGGATATTACATATCTGTATGCATCCTCATTAAACTATCAATGTAGAACTCGAGTGTTCCTCTCTATTATTTCCTTTAGAGTCTTTTCACTTATTACTAGAATGAAGGTATTAGAAAGGCCAAAGAGATACAATAGTGCCCTTTCCTTTTGCCAGTCTTAG